TGTTATACCTAAAAAAGCATTGTCTTATTCCGGGACATGAAGGTATATTCCTGTTTTCTTCTAATAAGTTTTATAGTTTTAGCCGTCACGTTTAGGTCTTTGATCCATTTTGAGTTAGTTTTTGTTTATGGTGTAAAGAAGGAAACTGCCATCTTCACTTTTTTGCATGTGGATATACAGTAGTCCTATCACCATTTGTTGAAAAGACAATTCTTCCCTCATTGAATTATCTTGATATTCTTGTTGAAAAATCAGTCTACAAAACATAAATAAATATGTTTATTTTGGTCTCTCTATTCTGTTCCATGATTATTTTTTTTAATATATTTTATTGATTTTTCACAGGAAGGGAGAGAGACAGAGAGCTAGAAACATCAATGAGAGAGGAACATCGATCAGCTGCCTCCTGCACATCTCCCACTGGGGATGTGCCCGCAACCCAGGTACATGGCCTTGACCGGAATCGAACCTGGGACCCCTCAGTGGATGGTTTGGCTCCATCCACTGAGCCAAACCGGTTTCGGCCTGTTCCATGATTTATATGTCTTTCCTTATGCCAATACCACATAGTTTGTGTGTTGTTGTTGTTGTTTTTAATTTTTATTTTTCAATTATAGTTGACATTCACTGTTATATTAGTTTAGGTATACAATGTAGTGATGAGACATTAACATACACAGTGATCACCCCAATAAGCCTGGTATTCATCTGACACCATACATATATACTAGGTGTACCAGTTAATAATTGTGGATTTTGTAATCAAAGAAAATATGATAATTTCAAGAGAAACATCAAAAGTGCTGAATTCAAAGTAATGTCCATTGCTAGCTACACATTTCCCCCATCTTCCAGGTAATTGTGGATACTGTCCCAATAGAACTTTTCTAATTTTGAGGCAGACCATTCAGAGACCCAATTTTCCACTTCTTCCTACGTTTTGAAGTGCTGCTCAGAAAGTGCATGTGCCATCAATTGGAACAAGTGGTAATCTGAAGGAGCAAGTTCTGGTGAATACGGCGGGTGGGTTAATACTTCCCAGACAAGATATTTTAATGTGTCTTTAACAGGTTTTGAAGTGTGTGATGGTTTATCATCATAAAGTAAAATTACTTTGTCATGTCTTCTGGAACAGTCTGGTCGTTTTATGATCAAAGCATGGCTCAACTGATTATTTGTTGTCATTAGTGGTCAGTATTAACCGCTTCACCTGGCTTTAGAAGCTCATAATACACCACACCTTCCTGATCCCACCAAATGCAGAGCATTGTCTTCTTTCTGAAGCAATTTGGCCTTGCAGTCAATTTTGATGTTTGACCTGGATCAACCCATGATTTTGTGCATTTTGAATTCTCAGGATAAATCCACTTTTCATCGCCAGTCACAATTTGATCATCACAAGTATCTTGAGGTGGAGCATGTTCACCATAAGCTTCCCAAAGTATATAACTTTTTCTTCAAAATAAAGTAATGAATTAAACCTCCCCCCAAATGCTCTTTTTTTTGGCACGAAATTCGACAACCTTCAGCAAATTTGACATAGGAAGTTTTGAAGCTTGCTGTCAGTGCATGAATTTCATGCACCAGGCCTCTAGTTATAAATAACGCTATAATGAACATAGGGATCTCTGTCTTTTCAAATTAATGTTTTTGGTTTCTTCAGATAAATACCAGAAGTAGAACAGTCTCTTATGATTAGCCTTTGTTTTAAAGTATTTTGTCCAATCTAAATACTGCTACCCAGCTTTTTTTTTCCCCATTTCTATTTGCATGAACTCTCTTTTCCCATTCTTTACTTTCAGTTTGTGTGGTGTGTGTTTTTGGGGGGTAGCAAGGGGGACAGAAACATCTATAACATCTATGTGAGGGAGAAACATCTAGGTATGTGCCCTGACCAGGAATCGAAATGATGCCCTTTCAGTGTGCAGGACGATGCTCCGGCCAGGGTAATCTGTGTATCTTTTGATCTGAAGTAGGTTTCTTGTGGGCAGCATATGTAGGGGTCTTGTTTTCTTATTCATTCAGCCAGTGTTTTGAACTGTGCATCTGATAGATTGCTTATCTCCATTTTGTTTGGTTCTTTTTCTAGAGTTTTGTCCTGTTCTTTCAATTGGGACATGTTTCTTTGTCTCCTCATTGTGTCTGTCTCCCTGTGTTTGTTTCTCGGTATTAGGTAGGGCCGCTACATCTCTCAGTCTTAGTAGAGTGGCCTGATGTAGTAAGTGTGTTGTAGGGCCCAGTCACGTCATCTCTCTGGTCACCTGAGCCAGGTGCTTCAGGGGTGTCCATTGTATGGGTTGTGTGTAGTTGAGACTTGATTGCTATTGGCACCTCAGTGGGAGGGATTGACTCTCGAGCTGATTGGTGTGAGGACTGTCACCACAGGGAAGGAGGTGTTGTGCAGGGGCTGACCCCACAGAGCAGGATTTGCTGCAGTGGGGCTCTGCTGCCTGCTCTTTGGGTGTGTCATTTGTGGAGGTGGTTGAGTGGTGCTCTGGTGCAGTACCACATAGTTTTGATTACTATAATTTTGTAGTAAATTTTGAATTCAGGAAGTATGAGTCTTCCAACTTTGTTATTCTCTTTCAAGATTGTTTTAGCTATCTCCAGAATTTTAGGATCAGCTTGTTAGTTTCTGTAAAACAGAAGCTGGGATTTTGACAGGCATTCTGTGAATCTATAGGTCAATTTGAGGAATATCACTATCTTCCCAATATTAACTCTTCTATAATATTAGTTCTTATTTATTTAACCATCTGAAGGAAAGTGGACCTTTTTAAATTTTTTTTTATTTTTAGAGAGAGATAAGGGGAGAGAGAGAAATGTCAGTGTGAGAGCAAAACATTAATCAGCTGTCTTCTGCATGCCCCTTACTAGGGATCAAACTGGCAACCTTTCAGTGCACAGGACAATGCCCAACCGAGCCACACTGGCCAGGGCAAAAGTGGACTTTTTAAGATTGATGTAGAATATTTGAGTACCTATGCAGTGTTAATGTTCTTGTTTCACAGTAAGTACTACACGAGTTTGTAAGATGGTAGCTGAGAATAGAGACTTAACTATGAAATGCTAAGTGTACTTTAAAGTATAAGTTGCTTTTTGTTTGTGTGTTGTTTTTCTTTTGTAACAATAAATGTTAAAATGCCAGATAGTATTAGGCATATTTAATATATTTAAATGTAATTATGGAAATCAAGGCTTATTCTCTTGAAGACTGCTTTTCAGCAATAATGAATACTAGTATTTCTTAGTCTTTATTAAGCCAGCTCTCTTTTAAATGTAATTAGATGTCCCAAATAACATCCAGCCTTAAAATTTTTTAAATTCTCAAGCTAAATTATCTTCTGTTGACAGTATTACATTCACACATAATTATATGAGTAGAAAAAAAAATAACTAAAATACCAGGCTGAGTTAATTATGTTTTCTGTAATATTGAAATGTCAGTCTTTTCAGTGTAGCAAAATTAAAGATTTAAACCACTTCTTAATATTGTGCTGGAATTTTGGTTTAATTTGCTTGAGCTTGGTAATCTTTCTTATTAGCAAATGTACATTTTGAACTTAAACATTTTCTTCTTTGGTGGGGGTCTTACCTCCCTTGTTTTTACTTATATCTAAGTTTCTACCTTTCCTTTTTCTATTCTAGGAGTTTCTTTCTATGAGTCTTTGCTAAAGTTATACCATTACTACTGGTCCTCACCTATAGCCTTAGGCAAGTGATTTCCAAATTTTAAGCTGTGATACCTAGAACTAGCTAGATATTTATTAATGAAATCCTTTCAAAGCACAGAAATAATTATCCTAGTCTTAGGGGAGGGATTAGTGTTGAGGCAGTTAAAAAGTGGAGGGGCGGGGGGCGGCGAATGGGTTCACTGGCCTGCACGACAGGAAGATGGAAACATAAGAATAGTTTAGGAGCCTGTTGATACTAGTACTGTATTATCAAATAGGAAACAGACTTAGAAGTGTCCCCTGACCAGCTTGGCTCAGTGGATAGTGCGTCGGCCTGTGGACGGAGGAGTCCCGGGTTCGATTCCGGTCAGGGGCATGTACCTTGGTTGCAAGCACATCCCCACTAGAGGGTGTGCAGGAGGCAGCTGATCGATGTTTCTCTCTCATCGATGTTTCTAACTCTCTATCCTTCTCCCTTCCTCTCTGTAAAAAAATTAATAAAATATATATATTTTTAAAAGTGTTATCTTTGCTTCTTTTAGTGCTCTTTTGGAATTAGGACATTTAAGGTTGAGTAATAACACAGCTGTGGGTGGTTCTTAAATACAAATGTACACACAGTGTGTGCATAAAGTTAATTACTAAAACAAAGACCAGATGATTCACTTGAAACTGGCTGATATAGGCATCTTCCGTGACTTAGAAATTGCCCAGGCTTTTTGTTAATTCGAAAACCTTGCCTCCAACTATCAAGGTTGAAGCCAGCAATGGAGAGTGAAGAATGTCAGCAGTGAGGGCATCATCATGAGCAGAAAGGGGAGACAGCGGCCAGGAATGGGCAGGAGGAGTGAGACCAAGAGGTAGGAATGAAAACATAAAGGAATAGAAAAAGAGAAGGGGGTGAAAACAACAGCAGGGAGAAAGGAAGAAAGGAATGTGGGTATAACCATTCATGTTAAGTATCATAATTCAGTGTTTTAACCTGCTTAGTTCGAAACTAAGAACCTTTAAAGAATTGAGTTTAACTGTGGAAGGAAGAGGTGAGCAAGAAAGAAGAAAATTTTTATAGCGTGTTAAATCGCATTTAAAATTTAAGCTCAACAGTAGCAATACACAATTGTTTAATTTTTCAACATGTAATAACATTTGAGTCATATTACTGTAGGGCACTATTTTAAGTGCTGTACATATCTTGATCCATTTAATCCTCACCACAAGTTTACAGCAGATACTGTTTCTCCCATTTTACAGATGCAGAAACTGAACCACAAAGAGAATAAGTAATTTGCCTAGGCTAGTCAGATTCTACTGAGGCAGTCTGACTACTGTGCTGCAGCTGGCTTCATCACATCTTCCTCCCCCTCCATGATTTGTATGGTATATTATTTTGAGAATATAATAACCTCCTTGAACTAGTTGTACGTTTGCTAGAGTAACATACTCTGGACTATTTAAAAATAAATTTTTCTTCCCTTTAGTTATAGTAATTGGAGAAAGTTTATCAAACTAGGGACCAGAACACAAGGCAGATAATGCATTGTCCCTGTCCCCTGTGAACTGAATCTCAGTAACTGGTCACTTGAACCAGCCAAGTCTGTACTCCAGTGTTGCTGTGAATTCTTTGACTTTGAGCCAAGTTTATGTGTGTTAATGAATGTTTGCTCAAAAGCCACAGACCAACTAGTACTACCAATATTTAAAACATTTGACATTCTTATCCTTTTAATAAGCCACGCAACAGAATCAGCTTTCCATATAAGAAGCAGTAGTGCCTAGTTTGATTACCTTTCTTAGTCACCCTTAAAATTAAAGTCTCATTTGGATATTTACAAAGTATTTATCTAAAAAGGTGTTTTGTTTTGTTTTTACAGCCCTGATGGAGTAAAATGTTTGCAGGCTGTAGAGAAGGAAATGTGAATGGAGTTAGTGGATTTCACCAGAAACTTTGGAAGAGTGTTGGGTATTAGTTGCACTGGAGGAGAATGAGAATTGAGCCCTATTTAGAGGGAACAGAAAGACTTCTGTGAGGAGTGTGGGTAAATACACAGGAATCTACCCCGATGATCATTGCTTAGCTCACTGAATACTTACTTTTTAAAATTACTTGTAGAATTTGAGAATCATTCACTAATACAATACTTTGTTTACATTGAGACTCTTCCAAGGAGACAATGTACCTATGTGGTCTGAAAGTACCTCTTCATATTGAGGCTTTCAAAAAGTCTGAAGAGGATGGACCTGTGACTGGGAATCCTAAAAGATTTTACCAAGAAAAACTCATTAGAGACATTTAAAATTGCCTTTTAGGCAAGTAAGAGAAATTCTGGGTCATCTGGCAGTTGGGAAGGAGTTTAAATATTAAGTTTAGTCTAATTTGACTTTTGCCTTGTTCCTCTATTGCTTCACTCCTTGATAAATAGTTGTAGCATCTGAAAGCTGGCTTAGCCATTCCCCTTTTAGATGTGAATAAGATAATAAATGAGAGGTTATTCGAAACTGAGTGTCTTCATTTTATTGGGTGTTTTCTTGCATTTCTTACCTTGGTATTGATTCTTAGATTTTTACTGTGGCATTTGGAATACTTTGAATTTAATATTGGTGCCTTTATGTTTTTTTTTTAAATATATTTTATTGAGTTTTTTACAGAGAGGGAAGGAGAGAGATAGAGAGTTAGAAACATCGATGAGAGAGAAACATCGACCAGCTGCCTCCTGCACACTCCCCACTGGGGATGTGCCCGCAACCAAGGTACATGCCCTTGACCAGAATCGAACCTGGGACCCTTCAGTCCGCAGACCGACGCTCTATCCACTGAGCCAAACCGGTTTGGGCAGTGTGCCTTTATGTTTATATATAGATTATCCACATGTCATTCATTCAAATATATTGAACAGCAGTTGCACAATACTAGATAATGGGAACATGAATGAATAATTCAGTCTCTGTGTTCAAGCTGTTTCTAGACTGGAGGACAGAAAGATTAATAAACCAAAAGTTAGAATACAGTATAAGTACAATGATAGAGGTATGCATAATTTTTCATTGAATAAAGAAGGGTACTTCACTCTGACTCAGAAATTTTACTTTGGAAGGAGATAATCTTTTGAGTTAAGCCTTTAAATAGAAAAGGAGTTCATCAAAATAGGTAACAGTGGTAGGAAATTTTAAGTATGGGGGAAAGTACCAGATAGGTATAATTGTCCAATCTCAGTTATCTTACACTTTTTACATCTCAGAAATACCACCACCACCATCCTTGCTCCCCCGCCCTGGGTGACTGCTATTTAACTGGCATTTCAAGAATATTAGCTGATTTTGATATTGTTTAATTAAATCTGTTGTAAGAATACATTGCTTTTTTAGCATTCTCAATTAAAAATATATTTTGTTATAATTTTAATTTTAAAAGATAACATTAATTTGAAAGTTCAAGTTAAAATTATTCAGTCCTTTTAAGTTAACATTATTTCTGGTGATTTAAAGCCAAACTTACTTAATTTTAGGTCTGTTTTAAAGAGTTATATTTCAGGAAGAGGACTTCTAGTCATTTTTACTCATACATCTGCAAATGCATTTGGAATAGAGAAGGTTCCTTTCAGATACAAAATCTGGCAGTTAAATTTCAAGTCAGTGAAATAAAGGCTCCACCTTTCCTGTATCAGAAATTTTCTCCTTTTGTTACCTACCCAAATCACTAGCATTGATTTATGCCCTTCCCTTTTTCCCTCCCTCTTTTGACATTGTTTCTTTATAGTGATTGAACCCCAAGATACAGTGAAACTCAGATCTTATCTCTTGAAAAATAATGTATCTGAATCTTGACATTTAGACATTATCTTTCCATAAGATATTTCCTTTTTCAATTAAATTTATGGGGGTAACATTGTTAATAATTTTATAAACTTCAGGTGTACATATTATAACATCTGTATACTCCATTGTGTGTTCACCACCCAAAGTCTTGTCTCCTTCCATCACCATGAAATATTTCTCATCTGTAATCTTAGAATGTTATTTGAATTTAAAGTATGCCCATTCGCTGAGTCAGCAGTTATTTGGTTTATTAGTAAGTTCAGGGATAAGTATTTGTTCAAAATTAGTGTTCTCTCAGTGTCTTTGTTAGTGCTATGTTCTTATACCTTAATCCAAAGAACATAACTCAGTAATGCTTTAAAAATTGCTAATTTCTAGATCTTCAATTGGTAATGTTTCTACTCTATTAGCTTGTCTTAGCATGTTTATTTCCATGAAACTTTTAATGGTGTAAGTAAAGTACTAGAGATATTAGGTAGCAGTTTCATGTGCAGAATCTTCAGTTTGCCTTATAGATCCTTTTCCTGTCTCTTAAGCAAGATTGTGTAGCTCTTAGCCACACAATGAGTCATTGATTAATTTAAGAAAACCCTAGAAAGTGGTGGCTGTCCTAAAAGAAGGAAAATTTAGGTATACTATACCCAGTTTTTCATTGTTTTTTAAAGCTATGGCTTCATTCATGGTCTTGAGTGTTTTTCCCTTTACCTTCACAATGTGCATTAATATTATTTAAGCTTTCTCTTAGTTTAATAAAGTAGAAGTCTTTTTCCCTTTAATATTCTACTTGCAAAACAAGTAAAACAGATTTTATCAATTAGGGTAACTAGTTCGATTTATTGAATAACTTTATTAAAACTCTTATCAATCTTTTCATAGCCCAACTAGCAATTCATAATTTCAGTGTTGCATTCCTTTCTTGCACACCTCTCCCCTTTAGAAAGTAAGGTTTTTTCCAAAATTTGTTTTTAAATCACCAACTTTCTTTCTTTGCTGCAGATAATATCACCCACTGCATTATTTTTGGCTGCAAAAGTGGAAGAACAGGCTCGAAAACTTGAACATGTTATCAAAGTAGCACATGCTTGTCTTCATCCCCTAGAGCCACTGCTCAGACCGACGCGTGATGTATGTAAAAATTGGGTATTTTTTGTTGTTGTTTTTTGTTTGTTTGGTTTTTGGGTTTTCTTTGTAAATTTGAAACCTTTTCATTATTTAGACATCATAAAAATATATCCTAATTAGTGTTGCCTTCCAAATGCTGCTTATTCCTATTACCACTTAGGAATGTAATGGCAGGAAGCAATCAGGCGGAGACATATTTCATGTATGTTCATGAATTATAATGTCATTCTGAATTATGTAAGGTACTTTTTAAGTATTTCACATTTTGTTGTTTATCCTCACACCATACCTGTGATATGGGTAGAGGGTAAATCATTTCACCTCCATTGTTCGGGTATGTTCAAAATCAGAGATAAATAACTCAAAATTGTCAGTAAATGAAGGAATAGGAAAACCTCTGGATTTACCTCCAGACCAGTAGTTAACCTTTTTTACAGAATTGTTTCTTTATTTAATGCATATATATTACTATTATCTCTTCGATACATAAAAATACATTTTACCATGCTTTCATGAGCGGCAAGCACTTTTTAAAAATATTTTAATTTCCCTAAAGAGTAATGCTAGTTTCCAAACAACTTGTTCTCATCAGTATTTTAATAGACCTTGTTTGAAAGCACCATTTTAAAATGCTCTGATATCTTATAACAAGAAAGAATTCTGGGCCTTTAAAATCATTTTTCTAGCACTCTTATTATAGGTGAGTTCTTTATCAGGAACTTTTAAGTACTAAGTGACTACCAGATTATATTAATTCAGTTTGATTTGGATCAAGTTTAAGTTCCAATTAACTATATCTGATTTTATTAATCTAGATGTTGTTATCCTAGATGTTGTTAAGGAAGTAGAATATTAATGTAGCCATTCAAAAATAGAGAATGGGATGTGAGGGCGATCTGGCTGCGACATCTGTCACCCCATTGATCGCCAGGGTTGATTCGGCTGATCTGGCTGGCTAGGCGGGTGTCCCCCTCCTCCCTCACCGATCCATGTGCATCCCTCCCGAAGAAGCTGCGCGCTCCGCTCGGTCGAAGAGGACGACCTCCCCATCCCCCGCCCCCCCAGGAGAGGACCGGTCTTCGGTCAAGGGAATACGAGTAGCTGCGCTCCCCTGCTAGAACCTCCAAAAAGCTCTCAAAAATAGAGATTGTATGATTATTCAAAAATAAGAACTATTTAAAATTAGTAGTGTCTACTAATTTTACAAATTCAGAATTATTTCTTGTGGTTACTTAGGATATTGTTCAAATAACCAAAATGTATGTTATAAAAATCTGCTCAGTGACCTTTTCAAATGGGACATAAATAAAATTATAGGTACTTTCACTCTCTGGGTTTAGTAGTATGTCCTTATATAAATGAATACTTATATGTGATATATTGTTTTCTAACTAACAATATTTCTGGTAGTTATGTCATGATCTAAAAATGAGATGGCAGAAAACTTTTCATACCCTTTATTTTCAGAGTAATTGCAGTAGAGGAATTTTTTGTTTGTTTATTTTGTTAATCCTCACCCGAGGATATTTTTTTCCATTTATTTATTTTTTTTTAGAGAGTGGAAAGGAGGTGGGAGACAGAGAGAAACATTGATTTGAGAGAGACGCATCAGTTGGTTGCCTCCCACATGCACCCCGAGGTATGCACCGGAGGTATGTGCCTTTGACCAGAATCAAACCCACAACCCTTCATTCTGGGAGCTAACACTCTAACATTGAGCAAAGCCAGCTGGGGGGTAAATAATTTATTGAGGTTGGGCGTATGATATATTATTTTGGTATTTTATATCTAAAATTTTTCCTTTTAATCTACAGATTATACAGCTTTTTAAAATTTTTATTTTGCCTTTTTTGGAGAGAGGAAGTTAATTCTAAAAGTAACCTGTTACTGTCAAGAAATTATCACATGAAGGTATCCTAGATTAAGTTGATAAGTCTTTCTTTAAGGTGGGTTTGAATTTGGTGTTCTTAGGTGGATTGGTGCTTCCTATCTAATATGTCTTGAAGCACTAATAATACCTAGGTAAAGTTTTATATTATAGACTAGCCCTCCTTCCTTTCATATTATCGTTATCGTTAGGTTTTTTGGGGTTTTGCTTTATTTACAGAAGTAATTCAATTTCGACTTGCCACAGAATATAAGCTTTCTCCATTTCCTTCGATTTCTTTCCTTCATATTTATAAACTACTCTAATTCTGTTGTAATCAATCTCTAATTCTCATGAAATTTAACGGTCTCATAGTCTGGTAGTTATGTTTATCTTAAGCATTTTAATACTACTGTTTTTACCCCACAGGCTTATCTTCAACAAACTCAAGAACTGGTTTTACTTGAAACCATAATGCTACAAACCCTAGGTATGTACTTACGTCATATATTTTTATGTGTGCTCTTCAATGCAGTACAATAAGTCTTTACATTTAATGTCATCAATTGGTATTTTAACTAAGTGAAACAACATATAATAAAACCAGTTTACTATGGGCTAATTGATACAAACAAGAGTTAAGTTCCTATGGTGTAACAAATGATGTTGAGTGAAATGAGATTATTCAAGTGCCTGCCATGTAGATTCTGAATAAAGGAAAAAATGTCTGGAGTGATTTTATCTTTGATGAAAGTTTCATTTTAAAATAAAGTTTAGGCCAGGGCCAGAATATTATTGCCTGGTTATAAGAAAACCATTTTTAAAAATTTCATTTCATTTCACATAAACAACCTTTGGTGAGATTTTAATGTTTTCAGATAATTGGGATCCTATGTTTCGTTCTGGCTTTGCATTGGAGAATGAAATAATTCCTCTCAAACTGTTGCACATGATTGTAATGTGTACAAATATACCTGGCAGTCCTTGTTCTCCTAGAGCAGTGATGGCAAACCTATGACATGCGTGTCAGAGGTGACACGCAAACTCATTTTTTTGGTTGATTTTTCTTTGTTAAGTGGCATTTAAATATATAAAATAAATATCAAAAATATATGTCTTTCTTTTACTACGGTTGCAAATATCAAAAAATTTCTATATGTGACACGGCACCAAAGTTAAGTTAGGGTTTTTCAAAATGCTGACACGCCAAGCTCAGAAGGTTCACCATCACTCTCCTAGAGCTTATAGTCAGTGTTTAATGAATGTATATCATTTTTAATGTGACATAATAGTTGAATGTTGAACATTGTTTTCTAAAAGTTATATTGACTGCAAAGTTAGTGCAACTTAATTGGCCTCTAAAGATCATTTATTCTGATGTTTCACTTTACCATGACGAAATTGGGGCTTAAGACAGTTTTGACTTTTGTAAAGTCATGTATTACTCCTAGAAGAACATTGTCTTTACGGAGAGCTGGGTTTAAATCTGTAGGCCTCTGACTTGGGCAAAATTCCCCTCTTTACCTTTCATCCTCCATTCTATATAATGATAATGCCTACCTTACCATTGTGAAGATGATAGATAATATTAAAAAATTGCCACATAGTGTCTGTGTCATAATCATTATTTATTATGGTAGTTATTTTTATTTTATTTATTATTCCATTCCCAAATGTTGAATTCAAATGGTAATCACAGCTTCTCGTAATAACTGATTATTTTTATTACAAAAGTAGCTTGTTTGAAATATCACTTGTTTAAAGTTTTTATAGTATAAAAAGATACAAAAATAAAAGTGAGAATATTCTCATTCCCTTCAAATTCAGTAATGTAAATGTTGTTTTAGTATATAAAGTTAAATAAATATGAAAATTTAAATATAATGAAAGTTGAAAAAGAACATTGTATTTTAAAATAATTAAAGATATTTTTTTAAAAATCAGTGTGTTTGCATTATGACAGTCTTAAGCATGAAGAATGAATAAAAGCATTTTTAAGGGAAACATAAGAATGTATAAGATATACCTCTTTGGCTTTCATTAAAGTATGATTTTCCAGGTTTTATTACAGTTTTATTATGGGAATATAAATAGACCATACAGTAACTTTATAAATCCAGATTACCTATTATTAGGATATTATTCACTTACTGCTTCTGAAGGCATTAGATGTGTCCTCACCTACTTAAGGGTTGAGCCCTGCCCTACTTAAGGGTTGATTGGGCATTGAAAGCTTTTCAACATTTTATCTTTGGTTTTAGAAAGAGTGATTTAATAAATCTTGAGGCCTACAGGTGTACTTAACCTCAACAATTTTATTATTAATGAAACATAGCTATAAGCCATCTTGCTGAAACCTTTTGATCTAAGGCATACTAAGAAAATAAGAGTACTATATTATTTAAAAGGTCATTTCTTACACTGTAGCCCAAAGGTTATATTTATGAAAAATTTTTCACATCTGAAAGATTTGGAATACACTTAAGAACCCCAGTAAATTCAATAAAAGGAGGAAGGGGAAAGAAATATACTACATAGTTGAATTCCCTGCTTAACATGTGGGGCAAACTTACCATGATTTTAGTTTATTTTTAAAATGAGGATAATCTCAAACTAATTGTAATTCAGAATTTTGAATAAATATTCCCCCCTGATCTACAAATAACTGATAATAAATTTTCATAATTGGATCATTGTTTTTGAGAAGGAAATGATTTCTTATCATAGGTATATAGTGATCATGTCAGTGATAAGAAACATTGTCTTTGGGTTTTTTTAATAGTGAAAAATATATTACACATTTATGGTTGTGTGGTGAATGGCATTTCTCAGGCAAGTATTGTAGTGGTAAGTGATTGGGGAAAAAAGTGCTTTTCATTTCAGGTTTTGAAATCACCATTGAGCACCCACACACAGATGTGGTGAAATGTACCCAGTTAGTAAGAGGTAAGTGATCTTTGAAACTTTTTAATACAATATTTATGATTTTTGTTGTCTATAATTGATGTGAATGCTATTTTGTTCTTACAGCCTTTTCTTGAATTTTAATAAGGAAAATGTCATTTTGAAGCATTACTTTGTAGTGTTATGTATCTTCCTACTCGTCTACTTCTATTTATATACACTTCAGTGAGAGTTTATTCAATAAAAATTTGGAGGGCTTTAAATATTCGGGCTCTCTACCTCCCCTTTGGGCTATGCCTGTCCTGTATTTCAGTTAATATTTAAGATGAAGGCCATTAACACATGTGTACAGAGAGTAGTATTAATTTTTAATTATGTCAGAAACTTTCATTGACTTCTTGAAGAGACTACAGTATAAGAATTTGGAGATCAACCTCAGATTTTTTTCTATAAAAAAATTGTGTTTCTTAGATTTGTCATGTTTGCAAATGTCTTGCCCATCTTCATTTGAACAAAATTGGTTTAATACATTTTTCACAGTTCTTTAGTATTACTAAAAATGGTTTCCTTTTTGTGTATAATAAGGAAATGATTATATAGCATGATATGTAGTGTGTAATGTGGCTATTACACCTTTTATATACAGGAATAAGGAAGCTTGTGTACCTTTTGCTTTACTGCTTATAAAGCATGTGGAACACGTTTTTCTGCTCTTATTAATGAATCTGGTGTATCTGTTATTTGCCTAGAAATAGTTTTCCACGGTTGCATGTTGTTAAACTGCTGCTACTACTTCTGCTTCCCATTAGAAATGTTACTTACTAATAGCAACCCCTTAGAATCTTTAGTGTGCCTTTTTCTATTACTTCCTTTTTGAAAATTAAATTTTGCAGTTTCATTCTTTTACCACCAGACTTCTTTAGGATTATTCTAAACAAAATGGGTAAGACTTTTGAAGGCCTTGATTTGTTTTTTAGTGTTTACCTAAATATCCTCACATTTTATTCATTCTAAATTGAATTCATTTTATACCTAGGTAGGATTTTATGTTATGACTACATTTTTTTTTTAAACAAAGGCTCTGTTATTTGACACCACAAGAACTGGACCTCTAAAAATGCCATTAGCACGCATTATCATTTGTAAACTTGAACATACTTAATTATAGTTCCTATTCTTTGTGATTGAATATATGTTATAGCACATTCTCATCCCCAGTATTACAGTATAGTATAGATTTGTATAGATAACTAGTGTAGATGTTGAATTAAGAAAAAAAATCTGAGTAGTTCTATTTTCCTAAAAACTTGAAAGGGTAAACTGTTTTGTCAGACTAATGGAAAGCCATATAATTTGTTTTAAATTGAGTCTGATGAAGAATGATATTGAAGGAAGGTATTAATATAGGTTAAAATAATACTTTAGTAGGAATTGAAACTGGATTTTCAGCTTAGTATTGTGAAGTTTTAGTCAACTTTTTAAAAATCGTTTTTCGAAGTTTATTACTTTTTTGTACTTTCTCCTATATCTAAAAAAGCTAAAGACATAAAGACCATTGATTTGCAAAATTGAATAGATAATTTTAAAACATTTACAAAAACTAAATTTTATATATCATCCAAAGCAAAATATTAAAATATGATTTTTTTGTTGTTGTTAATGTTTAAAATGTGACTGACTTAAATTTTAGTACAGATTTTATATATGTTTAAATTCCTCTTGTCTGACTAACATTTTGAGTAACAGGGTTTGTATCTCACTCCATTTAATAAATTTTCTTTAATGTTTGGTCTCTTTTTTTCTTTGTTCTATTACAATTAAGCTAACAA